CTCCGCGCCGGGCGCACAGGAAGGGCAGCCCACGCCACTGCGCACGCGCAACGCCTTTCCCGAGCCAGAGCCAGAGTCCGAGCTCGAGCCCGGCTGCTCGGAGGGGTGGGCCCCGCCCCGGCTGCGGAAACAGTAGCGGGAGACAATTGGTGGGAGAAAGGCGGGAAGGGCGGATTCTCCTTCCGGGTCGCGCTCGGACTCCTGGTCCATTGCCTGAAGCTGGGGTTACTAGGTAAACGGGACGCAAGGGAGGGCTTCTGAAATTCGGTGTTGGACGGCGCGGAAACACGACAGGTGTGACTTTTCAGAAAATTAAGGCAAGAGGAGGGCTCAACCGTGTCTGTCAGCTGGATATTCCGTAGGATTTGGCCAACTCTGCGTGAACATTGGAGTTCGCGTGTTTGTGTGGTTTGACGGCCCTTCTGGGTCATTCTGATTGCTAGAGACCGGGCGAAAGAAGGCCGGAGGGGCCGTTGTGCAGAGCCCGAAATCCATGAATAAGTGTCAGAGCAGGATAGGAACTCGGATTCTTCCACTCCTTCCGGATTAAATACGCTGCTTTCTCTGTCAAGTTTTTACTTTAGCAAGATCATTTTGGCCACAGTCTAGGGGGTGGATTGGAAAATAAGGAAGTCAGTGAAGGAGTACCGTACAAAGGATTCCACTGAGTTTATCATCAAAATGCACATGTTAAACATTGAATGTAGTGTTAACACTCCGTGGCATTATATTTCATTTTAGTATTAATAATAGTATCTGATTACAATTCGACAAGACACTTTTAACTTGTATGTCTTATATTGTGTTTCCTAAGTACTTTGAAGTTTTGTTACATTATGATATTCTGTCTAGACATGTAGACATTACTGCTACTCCACTTGTACAACGGAGAAATAGATTTGAAAATTAGCTAAACATCAGATACTTATGGGGCCAGAGGTGGCTGGTGGTTAAGGCGCTGGACTCGCACACGGTTGACCACGGTTTGAGTCCCAGACGTGGTGGCTTGCCTCCTTCACTTTCTCTCACTCTCTGATGAGTGCCCGTGCCCTACAGCAAATTAAAAACCAATAATAATTAACAAAATGAAATAATTATTTAAAAAATAACTCTTTGTTCTATGCTTTTTTAGGGTCCTTTAGTAATTTCATTGTACTTTATATCACTTAACAGCCTCCAGAGCAGTCTCCCAGTTTCTCCAGTAATTTTAGCAACTGACTTGCAGTTTCCCGATGTCTCCTCACTGCTGGCATGCCAGGTGATGCCAGTGTGATGACTAACCCACTTGACCTTGAACTTCTTAATTCCTGTGAGCACTTTCTTTCTGCTCCAGCCCAGTATGTCACACCCTCACCTTGGGCTTAAACATCTTTAGCAATCTCACTAGCTTCAAAATCTCAAACCTCAAAATTAATTTCAATATTTCCTAATGCCTCATTTACTATGTCCTTAATCCTCACTTTTTTTTCCCCTTCTAAAATTCTATCAAGGAGGCCAGAGGTGGCGTGGTTGTTAAGGTACTAGCCTCCCAAGTGGCCAATCCAATTCCAATCTCACACCTGACAGCTTGCTTTTTCACTTTCCTTCTTTCTTTTTCGCTGTCTTCTCTCTGGTATAGCAAACTGAATAATAATAAATAAATAAAATTAAATCATTCTTTTAAAAAATGCTATGGGGGGACAGAAGTTGGTGTAGCAGTTATGTCACTGGTCTCCCACATGGCTGACCAAGATTTGCCTCCCGAACCTGATCGCTTGAAACTCACACCAGGCGCCAGTGCACAAGTGCCCAAGATCCCAGGAGGAGAATGGAAGAGAAGGGATTGTGGTGTGGTCATCCTGCTTCGGGGTGATTTCTCACTTTCCCTCTGTCTGTCTGTCTGTCTCTTTCTCTCTTTAACACCCCCCCCATCATGTACTCTAAGGCCAAAACTTCTAAAAAAGAAAACCAAACAAACTAAAATGCTATCACGAGTCCTCTAAAATAATTTAAGTTTAAAATCACATTACTCTTAAAAAAAAAAGTTAAATAATTCTAAACAACAAAAAAATAGAACTTATTACACTAAAAAAAAAAAAGGGAGAGGTGCAGCAGGTATCATGATAGTTAAGGACACTGGACTCCCACATGGCCAACCACGCACGGTTCAAGTCCCAGACCTGACGGTTTGTTTTCTCACTTTCTCCTTGCTCTCACTCTTGTCTGTCCCTCTCTGGTCAAATTAAAAATGAATCAAGTTAGATAAAATAATTCTAAAGAAAGAACTATTGGGACCAGCAGTTGGCATAATTGCTATGTTGCTGGACTCCCACGTTGTCAACCACGGTTCTAGTCCCAGACCTGGTGGCTTGAACTCATGCTGGGCACATATGTGTGCATGCCCAAGATCCCAAGAGGAGAATGGAGGAGAAAGGATTGTGATGTAGCCATCCACCCTGGGGGGTGATTTCTCGCTTTCTGTCTCTGTCTTTCTGGTGAGCGCACTCACCCTAGAGCAAAAACCTCTCCAAAAAAAGAACTATTAAATTGCATCACTCCCCTAATTTAAAAAATGTGCAGTATCTCCCACTGCCAATTCAAAGAGCCTTTATGCACGACTCAGTGTATACTTTTCCACCATACTGGATATTCGTGGACTGAAAGTGGCCACCATTGGTGGAAAATCAAAATGGCAACAACAGTCTTTCAAACTCTTCACTACTTATTCACCCCATATCTCAGAGAGTCAAAAGAATTAACTGTCTCAGGGGCCTAGCAGGTGATGTGATAGTTAAGGGCACTGGACTCCTACATGGCCGACCATGGTTCAAGTCCTGGACCTGGCAGCTTGCTTTCTCTCTCTCTCTCCCTCTCTCACTTTGTCCCTCTCCGGTCAAATTAAACTAGATAAATGGATAAATAAAGTTAAATAAAAAGTAATTCTTTAAAAAAAAAATAACTATCTCAGAGGTTTTTGTTTTTTAAATTTTCTCAAAGGACATATACACTTCCTAGAAAGAGAGAGGGAAAGCATGAAAGCATCTCCTGTGGGACATGGTCATGCCTCTATCCCTTCTCCACATCTACCCCATTTGGAGTTTGGGGCACACAGGTACACATGCACACATTCCCAAGTGTGGTTTTCAAGCTGCTGGGTGTGGGACATCGGCCATGCTTTTGGTTATGTGGGATCCAGCCACTTTAACCACCAGGCCATAGGCTGGCCCCATCTCAAAGATTCTTAAAGAATGATTCAAAATGTGTGTGGAACCAGCAGTTAGTGTAAAGGCTAAGTCCCGCTGGACTCCCATGTGGTCGACTGCGGTTCAAGTCCTAGACCTGTTGGCTTAAACTCACGCCAGGCATGTGTGCATGCGAGCCCATGATCCCAAGAGGAGAATGGAGGAGAAGGGATTGCGTCATGGCCATCCCCTCTGGAGGGTGATTTCTCGCTTTCTGTCTCTGTCTCTCTGTCTTTCTGGTGAGCGCATGTGCCCTATAGCAAAAACCTCTCAAAAAAATTATTTTTTACTATGGTAGACCTTAAAGAGATTTAGAGAAAGATAAAACAATACACTTTTTTTGGAAATAGTTATTTTTCATAAAATCAATTATTTTAACATGTAGTACATTTATGCTCTATTACTTTATTTTTTATTGCCAGAGGACGCATGCAATAGCCAGAGAGAGAGAGAGAGAAAGCACCCCCACAGGAGTGTGGTCACACCAAAACCCTTTTCCTCCATCTCTCCATCCCATCAGGATGGTGGACGGAGGTGTGATTTCTTACTTCCCCTCTGTCTCCCTCCTCTCTAATGAGCACACACACCCTATGGCAAATACCTTAGGAAAAAAAAACAATTAAGGCCAGCCCCATACACAATGGCTAAGCACTATGTACTGGGAGTCTGATACCACATGGCTGAGAGTGGTTCATGTCCTAGCAGCTTGAAAAATATGGCAGCATATATGTCCACAATCCTGATGGGATGGAGAGATGGAGGAGAAGGGATTGCGGTGTGGCCATCCCCTCTGGGGGGTGATTTCTCACTTTCTATCTCTCTGTCTCTCTGGTGAGCTCATGTGCCCTATAGCAGAAACCTCTCCAAAAAAAAATAATAATAATAATAAGGGTAGATCCCACATGACCAACTGTGTAGTTCAAGTCCCAGTCCTGCTGGCTTGCAAATCATTCCAAGTATGTGTGTGTGCCCAATATCCCAAGAGGAGCATGGAGGAGAAATGGATTGTGGTGCGGTCATATCCCATAGAGGATGCTTTCTCACTTTCTCTCTCTCTCTCGCTGTATATCTGACGAGTGCATATGCCCTATAGTGAATTAAAAGTAAATAGATGATATACAGATAGAGAGAGAGATAATAGATGATAGATAGGTAGGTAGGTAGAGAGATAGATAGTTTAGATAGAAAGTAGGCAGAATAATGGTCCACAGAAGATGTCCGTGTTCTCCTAATCTCTGGGACCTGAGAATATCTTACATGACAGGAGAGACTGTGGATGTACCCCTGATGGCTTACTTCCTCACCTTTTCTCTGTCTGTCTCTCTCTGGTTAAAATGGAAGAATAATGATAATAAATAAAAATAAGTAAATCTTTTTTAAAAAAAAGTGTAAAAGGGCTCTGAGACCAAAAAGTATGTGAACCACTACTCTAAATAAATCCCTTGGGACCAGCAGTTAGCGTAATGGCTATGTCACTGGACTCCCACGTAGTCGACCACGGTTCAAGTCCTGGACCCGGAGGCTTAAACTCACGCTGGGCGCGTGTGCGTGCATGCCCAAGATCCCGAGAGGAGAATGGAGGAGAAGGGATTGTGGTGTGGCCATCCCCCCTAGGGGGGTGATTTCCTGCTTTCTGTCTCTCTGTCTCTCTGTCTGTCTGGCGAGCACACGCGCCCTATAGCAAAAACCTCTCCAAAAAAAAAAAAAAATTAAATAAACCATGTTTTTGTCTTGGCTCCCTTTTTTTACCCCAGCCCTTACTATTCGTAAGAATGCCTAGAATGGCCTTGCCTCCTTTAAAATCCTCCCCGGTGTTTAAGATCTGTCTTACAGTCTGCATCCTCGTCTCTGATCACTCCAACCAGAAACCTTTCTTAAGTTTGAACTAGCCCAATGAGTCATTTATCTGCCTTTTTTTACATTCTGTCCTGTCCCCTTAGATGTGAAATCCTAGAGACCAGCTGTTTGACGCTTACCCATTTCAATCAGTAAGCATGTTATATATGCATGGAATATATCTGGTTGTTTCTTACAGAGGAGACTTTTGCAAATAAGATAGAAAAGAGATTTTTTGGGGGGCTGGCAGGTGGCGTGGTGGTTAAGGGCTCTGGACTCCCACATGGCCGACCACAGTTTGAGTCCCAGACCTGGCAGCTTGTTTTCTCATTTTCTCTCTCTCTCTTTCTCTCTCTCTCTCCTATCACTCATTCTGTCCCTCTCTGGTCAAATTGAAATAGATGAATAAATAAAGTTAAATAACTTTATCTCTTCTTTTTTTTTTTTAAGTAAAATAATGGGCTGGCAGGTGACATGGTAGTTAAGGACGCTGGACTCCCACATGTCCGACCGTGGTTTGAGTACTGGACCTGGCAGCTTACTTTCTCACTTTCCCTCTCTCTCGCTTTCTCGCTCTGTCCTCTCTGGTCAAATTTAAATAAATAAATGAATAAATAAAGTTAAATAAAACAATTATTTAATAAAATGAGAAAAGAAATTTTTGTTGTGTTTTTTTGTTTGTTTTTTTTGTCCTGTTGGAATATCAGCAAAAATATGTGTACATCATCACTAGTTCTTAGGAATGAAATAAGGAATGTAGAATCGTTCTGGGATAGATGAGATGCTGTTCTTCCAAATGACAGTGTTATTGATATTTTAAAACAATATGTATGTGTGTGCATTTGCATGTAATATCCTTAGGATATTTACATTCAGTTATAGTGGGTATTCAGTTTTTTTATTTATCATTATTGTTATTATATTTTATTTTTTAAATTTGACTAGAGTGAGACAGAGAGAGAGAAAGTGAGAAAGCAACCGCTAGGTCCAGGACTTGAACTGTGAGTACCCATGTGGAAGTCCAGCGCCTTTAACCACCATGCCACATGCCGGCCCGACTATGCAATTTTTAAATTAATATTGTTATTTTTTTTCTATTCACTCGTCCTAATGTCTTCCAGTTTTGGAAGGATAACAATTACTATGCTCTCTAAATGTAATAAAAAGAGTAAAAAGAAATGGTGTCAAATATGTTGTGTACCTTAAATAAATATTAAAATTACATGTCCAATAAAGATTTTTGAGAGTTTATCATATGCCAGACACCGCTCTGCAGGTATCTGTTTACTGCAACGACAGACTGGCATACAGCAGATAGCCCTTACAGGTGGAGTTGGCCACGCCCATGTCCGTTTTTTTGTGGCTCCTCCCCTTCCCCGGAGCTTCAACCCCGCCCCGTGGCTTTTCCTTTAGTCCCTTCTGCTCGCGAGTTTTTCGGCCCAATGCGGCCGCCGTAGCGAGGGTGGCAAGATGGCGGCCTCCGTGTTTGCTGGCGCTGTGCGAGCAGCTTCAGGTCAGTAGGGAGCAGCAAGCTCAAGTTATGCCTTCACAGAAGGGAGAGCTGACGCGGGATGGAGTGGGCGTCTAGACTGGAAGACGGCAGGAGGAAAAAAGGGTCACTTATTCGAGACCAGAGGATTGCTCCGAATTATCTCGAGAGCGGTGTGGCCGGCACTGGATCCCGACTTATGCCCGCGCCGGCCGAGGGGTCCGGCATTTTTCGCCTCCTGACGGTCTCCTCCTTTCCTAGAAAACGGACCGGACAGACTGGGGCAGCTGGGGACGCGGGAGACCTAAAATAATCTCATGGGACTCTGTCATTTAGAGGCTGGCACCTGCCACTCACAGCCCTTGACCTTGAGAGCTATTTATTTCTCCGAACTTGAGATTATGTAGCTATAAAATGGAAGTAATACCGTCTATTGGGGGTGAAATATGTCCACACGCGTGAACAGTCTTGCAGATGACCGGGTTCAGAGTTGCTTGAGGATCTGAGATTGACACAATATGAATTGGGGACTGGCTAATTTACAACTACAGCCTCTGGCACAGGGCGAGCCAGAGATTTCTGGACTGAAGAGTAGCAGGAGTGAAAGCAACTAAATTAAGTGGCCTTCAGGCTCTTACTTGTTGCAGAAGTTAAAAGTGGTTCAAATATGATACATTGGTCAATACATTACTTTCATATAAAATGTATTAGGGGAACCAGCCGATGGCGTAATGGTTACGTTGTTGGACTCTCACATGACTGCTTTGAGACCCAGACCTAGAGGCTTGAAACACGCTGGGCGCTTGTGGGTATGTGCCCAAGATCCTGAGAGAGCAGAAGAGAAGGGATTGCAGCCTCCCGGTAATTTCTCGCATTCTCTCTCTCCAGTGAGTGCATGTGCCCTATAGTGTAAATTCTGTGGGAGAAAATTAGAAATAATAAGATCAGGAAAAAGTAATGGTTTACATTTTTCTGTGAGAAGACCCTTTTATGTGGGGGTTTCATATGTATATGCAAAATTTCATATGTATATACATGCATCTTTTAATTTTCTAAAGCGAACATCTGTGTAACTAACACCCAGGTCAAGACAGGGCACCAACAGAAATCCCTTGTCAGGAATCTATTCATCTCCCCAATGAAAATTTTTACTTCCCCCAAATACAATCAGTGTCCTAATTTTTATGATTATTAGCTGATTTATTTTTCCTGTAATAATTCTAGTGTCTGTATTGTATCTTTCAATAACATGTTTAGCTTTGCTTGTTTTTGAACTTAACAAGAATGGGAGCATATAGTATGTACTTTTTAGCATACTACTGCTTTTATTTTACATTTTGCCTGTAGCTATAATGTTTTTTCTTTCAAAGTTTTCCAAAGGGCATGGAGATATGCTTGATGGAGGGAGAGAGTGGAAGCACCTCCCTGGGGTTGACCACACCACAGTCCCTTCTCCACCCTCCTCTTGGGATTTTGGGCATGCATGTACACTCAGTGTAAGGTTTTTTAAGCTGCTGAGACTCAAACCACAGTCAACTATGTGGGAGTCCAACAGCATAACCATTGTCCAACTGTGGATCCTAGCGTCTAGCATGTTTTAATTTTTTAAAATTATTTATTTAATTCTATTTGTTATCATTGTATTTTACATTTAACCAGAGAGAAACAGAGAGAGAAAGGGAACATGAGAAAGCAAGCTTCCAGGTCCAGGACTTGAACTGCAGTCAGCCATATGGGAATCGAGCACCCTTAACTACCATACCACCTGCCAGCCCCGCCCAGCATGTGTTTCAAGCCACCAGGTTTAGGACTTAAACCATGCAGTCAGCCTCCTGGGATCCAGCTACCTTAAGCACCACACTGTCAGCTGGCCCACCATAATGTTTTTCATTGTGTGTTATATTCTTTTATCTGATTATTCCATATTTCTCTGTTTTGGTGGGCATTTGGGGGCAATGATGTACAAAATCAGTTGACTTCATGTAGGGCGCGTACACTCACCAGAAAGAGAGACAGAGACAGAGAGACAGAAAGCGAGAAAACACCCCCCAGGGGGATGACCACGCCGCAGTCCCTTCTCCATTCTCCTCTCAGGATCTGGGGCACACACACACACATGTGCCCGGCATGAGTTTTAAGCCACCAGGTCTAGGACGCAAACCAGGGTCGACTACATGGGAGTCTGCCGGCATAGCCATTATGTTAACTGCTGGTTCCCCCATGTATTCTATAATGTATTTTCAGCTAGAATAATGTAAAGGACAGAATAACGTTAAGGCAGCTAGATCCCACACAGCCAACTGCACAGACCCAGACCTGGTAGCTTGAAAAAGATGCTGTGCATGTGTGCATGCATGCCCAAAATCTCAAGAGGAGAATGGAGGAGAAGGGACTGTGGCATGGCCTTCCCTTCCTAGGGTTGCTTTCTCACTAAATGGTATTTTTGTTTTGTTTTGTTTTGTTTTTTTTAGAGAGAGAGATTTTTGCTCACCAGAGAGAGAGTGAGAGATCGCTCCCCGGGGGGAGACAGCCATGCTGCAATCCCTTTTCCATTCTCCTCTTGGGATTTTTTTGGGTACACAAGCACACACACCCAGCATGAGTTTAAGCCCCTGGGTCCAGGGTTCAAATTGTGGTCGACTACATGGGAGTCTAGTGACACAACCATTACGCTGGTCTCGATGTTTTGTTTTTTCTTAATTTCCAGAGAGTATGTGTGTTCATGGAGAGAGACAGAGAAGGGGGATTAGTGAGAACGTATGCCCCACCATGGGGGGATGGCTTCGCCACAGTCCTTGCTCCACTTCACCTTCCTTTTGGGATTTTGGGCATGCATGCACATGTGCCTGGCATGTTTCTTTGCTACCAGGTCCAGGACTCAAATTGTGCGGTTGGCCACGTGAGATCCAGCCACCAAAACACCACCAGCTGGTAGGATAGTTTCTTTCTTTCTTTTCTTTTTTTGAGAGGTTTTAGCTATACTGTGTATGTACTCACCAGAAAGAGAGAAAGAAGGCGCGAAATCACCCCCCGGAGGGGGGAATGACCACACCGCAGTCCCTTTTCCTCCATTCTCCTCTCGGGAGCTTGGGCACGCATGCACACGGCGTGAGTTTTAAGCCCCCGGGTTTAGGACACGAACCGCGGTTGACTACGTGGGAGCCCAGCAACATAGCCATTACGCTACCTGCTGGTTCCCTCTTTCTTTTCTTTTTTTGAGAGGTTTTAGCTATACTGTGTATGTACTCACCAGAAAGAGAGACAGAAAGCGCGAAATCACCCCCCGGAGGGGGGAATGACCACACCGCAGTCCCTTTTCCTCCATTCTCCTCTCAGGATCCTGGGCACACACAAGTCCAGTGTTAGTTTAAGCTACCGGGTCCGGGACGCGAACCATGGTCAACTACATGTGAGTCCAGTGCATAGCCATTATGCCATCTGATGGTCCTGCAATAGCTTATTTCTAAATGTATTTTGGATGTCCTGGAAGTTTTTATCCTTTTTAACAATTTAAACTATTTCATACTTAAGATGTTACAAATTTGTGAAAGGATACATAATTAAAAAAAATTCTTTTAGAGGGTATGAGATCAAAAGAGCTTAAAAACTGCTAGGAGCTGGATGGTGGTCCAGGATAAACGCTTTGGTCTGCAAGGCTGACCCACATGGGAAGGTCCTTGCGTTCAGAGACCTCCCTGAGTACACCTAGCACACATGTGCCCATGATCCGGGCTGGCTGAAGCTCGGGGCAGGGTGAATCGTAACATCAAGACCTTCTCGGGGTACTGTATTTCTCTGTTTCTTACTCATGGAAGAAATCAACTATTGGGTCGTCTGGAAAGTCATGATGCATTTCTGCATAGACAAACACATCATGAGTTTCTGACAACCCAATGCTATCTGCTCATGTTTCTGTGTTTCCTTAAAATAAAAGGAAACTTTTTCCAGGTGCCTTCCAAAATCGGGGTACACTGTGTCTGGGACAATCCATTGGTTCCCCAGGCTAGTGTTTGTACTTAAACAAAACAAAACAGTTACTTTTAGGGAATAACTGACACCTAGTTGACTTTATTTTTAGCCATGATCTTCCCACTTATTAATCAAGTCCATTTTTTTTTTCTATAGATTTTTTTTGGGGGGAGGTTTTTGCTATAGGGTGCAGGCAATCGCCAGAAAGAGAGACAGAAGGTGAGAAATCACCTCCCTGGGGGATGACCACACCGTAATCCCTTCTCCATTTTCCTGGGATCTTAGACACGCACACCCATGCGCCCAGTGTGAGTCTGGGACTTGAACCACGGTCACCTACATGGGAATCCAGCGATGTAGCCATTATGCCATCTGCTGGTCCCAAATGTATTTATAGTTTACTCATTTATATGTTCTAGACCATCTGCTTACTTGATTGAGGGGTAGTTTCCAAGAATTTCTGAAAGGTATTTTGTTTTTAACTGAAACATACTTAGAGCTAATGACCTCTTGGGTCAAGTTAAAAACATACATATATATAATAAAAAACTAAATAATTTTTATTTTAGAAAAAGAAAGAGCTGATGACCTATGAAAATTGGGACATTTTCATGTCTGTAGCCAACCTCTTCAATTCATTTAATCTTAAAAGATTACTCCCTAGCTAGTAATCACATCTGTAAATTTTTTCAGGTTTTTTGAGATATAAATTGTTTATATGTGGAAGCTTGAAATCACACATTGAGTAGAGAAGTTGATTTCCAGAGCCTGTTGTAAGGGGCACTGTCACTGAATCTTGGATGACATTTAACTCACTAGTGCTTATACTACCCTTTTCACCTTGAAAAATCTTATTTTTTTTTCCATGATAGAGCACATGGATGTGTATATGAGAGAGAGAGATGAGTACCCTCTTCAGGTTCTGGTCACACCACTATCCCTTCCCTCCAGTTGTCCTACCCATTGGGTCTTGGTCACTTGCACGTGTGCCTGGCATGTTTCAGGCTAGATGGGCCAAGGACTGGAACTGCAATCACCACGTGGGATCCAGCTTCTCAAGTACCATGCTAACAGTGTACCACAAAGCTACCCTGAAAATTATCTTTTTTTTTTTGGAGAGGTTTTCGCTATAGGGCGCGTGCGCTTGCCAGACAGACAGAGAGAGACATAGAGACAGAAAGCGAGAAATCACCCCCCAGGGGGATGGCCATGCGGCAGTCTCTTCTCCTTTCTCTTCTCGTGATCTTGGGCATGCACGCACACGCGTCCGGCATGATTTTAAGCTACCGAGTCCAGGACTTGAACCGCGGTCAACTACATAGGAGTCCAGCAACATAGCCATTATGCCAACTACTTGTCCCAGGGTTATTTGTTTGTTTGTTTGTTTTCTAAAAGTAATTATTCTATTTAACTTTATTTTTTATTTTAATTTGACCAGAGAAGTGGGGAGGGAGAGAGAGAGAGAGAGAGAGAGAAAGCGAGAAAGCAAGCCATCAGGTCTGGAACTTGAACCATGGTTGGCCATGTGGGAGTCCAGTGCCCTTAACCACCACGCCACCTGCTGCCCCCCCCCCTTTTTTTTTTAAGAATTATTTGATTTAACTTTATTTACCCATTTATTTATTTATTTTAATTTGACCAGAGAGAGATGAAATGAGAGAGGGAGAAAGGGAGAAAGTAAGTGGCCAAGTCCAGGACTCAAACCAGGGTCAGCCATGTGGGACTCCAGCATCTTTACCATGCTACCTGCTGGGCCCAACAAACCTAAAGGTTTTAAGTCTTCATCCTACTACCTCTGCTGAGCATTCCTCAGCTCTCCTTTGTTGTCTGCTGTTAGCATTCATGAAATATTTTCTTTGTCAAGCATTCTTCTAAGTACTTCACATGTTTTACCTCATTTAAAAAATTTATTTATTTACTTAAATTTGTCCAGAGAGGGTCAGAAAGTGAGAAAGCAAGCCACCAGGTGCGGGACTTGAACAGTGGTCGGCATGTGGGAGTCTAGCACCCCCAACCACCAAGCCACCTGCTGGCCCCTTACCTCATTTGATTCTCATTATCTTTCCATAGTTACCCAGCTAGAGTTGAGGAGACTTAGGCACAGAGAGGAAGGTGGTTAAACAGCTGGTAGGTAAGAGAGCGAGTGTGAGATCCCAACAGCTGGATTCAGATCTTCGCACTTCCGTGCCGTGCTGCCCTCATCCACGAGGTGAAGTCAGTGCAGCGGACACCGGGGCCATGGTCTAGTCCTGGCTGAGCGTCACTCAGATGGAACACCGCTTTAAGCCACCCACGTTGAAGTGTAATTTATACACCATACCATTACCCGCTCTGTGTGAAAATGTGATGAATTTTAGTAAATTTACCCAGTTTTGTAACCATTGTCATACTCTGGTTTTTGGACATTTCCATCATCCTGTACAACTTTCCTGAGTCCTGTATCAGAGTTTATGAGTGGATCAGAGTCCCCTGCGTGCTTCTAATCTACAGCCATGAACTGTCTGCCTGGCCGTGGTGGGCGGGATCGCAGAGGGCACTGCATCCAGCCCACACGTCTGAGCCCTCTGACGGCCGCCTTCTGACGGCCCGGCCTCATTTCCCACAGCTGCTCTGCAGGCAGCCCTGATGCGGTCAGACAGGCAGTGCCCAGCCTCTGTCAGGACTGGTCCCCGACCCAGATATGTGTTTGTTTCAGCTGCCATGCCTTTGCTTATGCCTGAAATGTGTCCCTCCTCCCAAAAGTCTTGCTCATTTTCTGGGAGAGAACTCAAGTGTCTCTTCTGCTCTCTTCCTGAGTCCTCTTACTATTCGTTTGTCTTTCCAGGAAGGCTCAAGCTTTTGTGTCTGACCTGCCATTGCACTGTGTGGGGGACTCCTGTCCCACCTGAGTATGAGATCTGGGGAATGGCAATTTCCTTTATGTTAGAGGGTATATGGGCTTGCCAGAGAGACAGTGGGAGAGGAGAAAGCACCTTCATAGGGAATGGTCCTGACGCACTCCTTTATATAACTGATGTGATACATATCGTGGTTCTCGTACAGGACGTAGAGCCTAACACTTGGTCACCTTGATACGTAATTTTAAGTATCTGAATGCATATTCTGGAGTTTTCAAAATACATATGCTTCTGTCTTTACAGGAATCTTACGGCCCCTGAGTATTTTGGCTTCTTCAGCCTATCGAAATTGTGCCCAGAATGCCTGTCTGTCTTCTGCACTGTCCACCAGACATCTCAGTCACATTCAGACACCAGTTGTCTCCTCTGCTCCGAGATTTCTCACGGCTCTTCAAGACCTGACACGTGGCCATACGGCAATGATCCTTAACAGGTAGAGTGTGTTTCATAAACAGGGTGCTTAGACAGAGTTTCTAATATATTCATATCTGTGAAGACTTAAGTAGATGATAGTTTTTGCCTACCAGCAGTTTACTGTATTAGGAGTTTTCAGGAAGTTCTAGGGAAAATGCATATTATGTAAAAACTATGCCTGAATTTCATTTTTTACAACAAAATTAATTTGTATTTTAATTCTATTAAAATTTATTTTTAAATTTATGGTAGAGCACACATGCATACACAAGTCTCCATGGGGCTTTGTCACACTGTGATCCCCTTCCTCCAGTCCTTCAGTCTAAGAAACCTGGGAAATGTTTTCAAACCAGCAGGGCCAGGGATTCAAACCAGGGTCAGCATGTGGCTTCCAGCTCTGCAGTCCAGTATGCTACTGGCTGCACCACAGAGTCTGTGCCTAATTCCATGTTTTCTGTAAGCATTTTGAAGTCCCCTCATATAGGTTAAATGAACTGATCGAATGGGAGAACATGATTAAACACCATATTCCTAGATGCCAGCAGCAGTAACTGCTAAAGAAAGCACACTTCGGATGTGTGCATGGCTCCTTAGATGGAGTCTGTCCGCCACAGTGGAGGTGAACAGGATGTGCAGCTTATAAGGCTGGGCTGTGTGTGTTGTTCATTCAGTCAGAAAATGTTCAGCTAAACACCCTTGGGTGCCCAGGAATATGCTTGGCAGAAAGGACTCAAAAAAAAAAACAAGGTTAAGTCCACAAGGAGGTTACATTCTGGTAGCAGATAACTAAAACATGCAGGACTAGTTCTTCCATGGAGATCAAAGGGGATGGATTTTAGAAGCTTCCAGGTTGGTGATAATAGTGTCATGAATCATTTGAAGTAATATTGCATATAAAAGCTCCAGGCCAGGGACCAGCAGTTAGCGTGATGGCTATGTCGCTGGACTCCCATGTAGTAGACCACGATTCACGTCCTGGACTTGGTGGCTTAAAAATTCACGTCGGGCGCGTGTGCGTGCGTACCCAAGATCCCGAGAGGAGAATGGAGGAGAAGGGATTGCGGCATGACCATCCCCCCTGGGGGGTGATTTCTCGCTTTCTGTCTCTATGTCTCTCTCTGGCTGGCTGGCGAGCGCACGCGCCCTATAGCGAAAATCTCTCCAAAAAAAACTCACGCCAGGTGCATGTGCGTGCATGCCCAAGATCCCGAAAGGAGAATGGAGGAGAAGGGATTGTGGTGTGACCATCCCCCCAGGGGGTGATTTCTCGCTTTCTGTCTCTCTCTGTCTGGTGAGTGCACACGCCCTATTGCAAAAAAAATTAAAAAATAAAAAAAGAAGGTCCAGGCCAGCAGGTGACGTGGTAGTTAAGGTGCTGGATCCCACATGGCCTACCCTGCAGTTCAAGTCCTGGACCCAGGAGGCCTGAAAAACATGCTGAACATATGTTATGTATGTGCTCGAAACCCTAAGAGCAGAATGGAAAAGGGATTGTGGTTTGGCCATCCCATGGGGCGGTGATCTCTCTCTCTCTGTTTTTTCCTCCCACCCCTACCCCTGGTGAACTCATATGTCCCATGACAAACTTTAAAAAAAAATAAATTTTCTGGTACCAGCAGTTAACGTAATGGCTATGTCGCTGGACTCCCATGTAGTCGACCACGGTTCGAGTCCTGGACCTGGTGGCTTAAACTCAACACTGGGCACGTGTGTGTGCTCACCTAAGATCCCGAGAGGAGAATGGAGAAGGGATTGTGGCATGGCCATCCCCCCTGGGAGGTGATTTCTCGCTTTCTGTCTCTCTGTCTCTCTCTGTCTTTCTGACAAACGCACCGTATAGCAAAGCCTTTCCAAAAAATAAATAAATAAAATAATTAATTAATTAATTAAAAATAAATAAAAAGGTTCCATTCCAGTGGAGTACCAGCTTCCTTCATTTCTAGGTATAAAAGTGGACTTTGTCCTTTAATCAGTCCAGTTGCTGAGTTAAATTTTTAAACTGTCTTTTAGAGTGGCACCCTTGCTTCCGGATGTCCTGAAGCTGCCCCCAGTCAGAACTGTAACTTACGTCAGTACACGAAAAGGCAAGAGGAAGACTGTGAAGGCTGTCATCTACAGGTTTCTTCGGCTTCATTCTGGCCTTTGGCTAAGGAGAAAGGTGAGTCTTCACACTGTTACTGGCCGAAAACGGAACACGAGCAGATTGAAATGAAGCAGAAATCAGTCTGCCTGTCCATTGCCATATCTCCCCCCACCTTACCAGTAGCCATTACAGGGTTGTGCATACCAGCCTGGCAGGCGTCTTTGGGTGTGAGTGCATCCCTGTGAAGAAAGCGTGTAAGCATTCATGAGGTATTAACATGGTGGCAGAAGTCTTCACTGGAGGACAGCATGACCTTAGGTCTTCTACCATGTCCAGCTTACCTAGTGATTACCAGAAGCCCTTTGGAACCCTGTAAGTTTGACAGCCTATTTGGAGGCTGTGTTACAGCAGCGCAGACTTAGCCACCTGGCTCCAGTTTGCAGACTGAAGAGCATTTCCGCCTGCCTGGGATAGGTCGTCCAGGTGACTTAATTTCCAAGTCTTTCCTTCTGTTGCTGCGTGTGATTGGCAGCCATCTCGAATGATGACTGGTCAGGGAGCACAGCCCTCAGGCTAACCCTGGACGCTTACTCTTGCTCTGCCCTCTCCCACAGTGTACCTTGAGCAGAAATATGGGCTTTTCCATGCATGGCCTTATTCAAGGAAGCAAAGTAGCTGATGACTAGAAAGCAAATTATGACCACAGTTTTGCAGAACTTTTGTGTTTCAATAACTGTTCAAATCCTAATTCCCTTTTACTTCTTGGAAGCTAACAATGCTTTAAAAATCAAAATTTGGTTCTCCACTGGACGTGGTGTAATACACTTCTATAGTCCCAGCCACTTAGGAGGCTGAGGAAGGAGGATCAAGACAGTGAGACCCTTTCTATGAAAAAAAAAAAAAGTTTCCTGTAAAAATGAAGTTGTTGGTAGGCCTTCTCACTGCCTGAAAGACATAGGAATTAGCCCCTATCTTATAAACAGTCCTAATTTTGCTGATAAAGTATGGCATTTATTGAAATTTTCAACTCTTTATCACACCACACTGTGCTAATTTCCAATACCAGCCCAAAGCTCTGGTGCTGAGCTACTTAAGTTATCATAGTTCTCAGTTTTGTGAATTTTGGACCACTGAAAACATTTCCTCACCTTAGTTATTCCAGTTAGTTCGAGGTCCTTGTGTGGCCCTTGATAAACTAAAATAGGCAATTTTCTTTGATTTGTCTTGCTGCAACTTTTATCGGCTCTGGAAACCCTATGTTACTAAAAAGGACCTAGTCAAACTCTCCAGTATAATTACCCAGCCCCAGCTCAGAGCCCCAAAAAGTATACCACGTGCAGAATGGCCTGCTTGATAAGATCTTATTTTAAGAGGAAAACAAAAAAATCTGGCAGGTTAATTTATACTGATGTGTATATATATATTAAAAAAATGTTAACCACTACATTGCACTATCTTTCCTTTTTTTGTTTTTTTTTTTTTGGGGGGGAGAGGTTAATTTCCAAGTCTTTCCTTCTGTTGCTGCGTGTGATTGGCAGCCATCTCGAATGATGACTGGTCAGGGAGCACAGCCCTCAGGCTAACCCTGGACGCTTACTCTTGCTCTGCCCTCTCCCACAGTGTACCTTGAGCAGAAATATGGGCTTTTCCATGCATGGCCTTATTCAAGGAAGCAAAGTAGCTGATGACTAGAAAGCAAATTATGACCACAGTTTTGCAGAACTTTTGTGTTTCAATAACTGTTCAAATCCTAATTCCCTTTTACTTCTTGGAAGCTAACAATGCTTTAAAAATCAAAATTTGGTTCTCCACTGGACGTGGTGTAATACACTTCTATAGTCCCAGCCACTTAGGAGGCTGAGGAAGGAGGATCAAGACAGTGAGACCCTTTCTATGAAAAAAAAAAAAAGTTTCCTGTAAAAATGAAGTTGTTGGTAGGCCTTCTCACTGCCTGAAAGACATAGGAATTAGCCCCTATCTTATAAACAGTCCTAATTTTGCTGATAAAGTATGGCATTTATTGAAATTTTCAACTCTTTATCACACCACACTGTGCTAATTTCCAATACCAGCCCAAAGCTCTGGTGCTGAGCTACTTAAGTTATCATAGTTCTCAGTTTTGTGAATTTTGGACCACTGAAAACATTTCCTCACCTTAGTTATTCCAGTTAGTTCGAGGTCCTTGTGTGGCCCTTGATAAACTAAAATAGGCAATTTTCTTTGATTTGTCTTGCTGCAACTTTTATCGGCTCTGGAAACCCTATGTTACTAAAAAGGACCTAGTCAAACTCTCCAGTATAATTACCCAGCCCCAGCTCAGAGCCCCAAAAAGTATACCACGTGCAGAATGGCCTGCTTGATAAGATCTTATTTTAAGAGGAAAACAAAAAAATCTGGCAGGTTAATTTATACTGATGTGTATATATATATTAAAAAAATGTTAACCACTACATTGCACTATCTTTCCTTTTTTTGTTTTTTTTTTTTTGGGGGGGAGAGGTTTTTGCTATAGGGTGTGTGTGCTCTCCAGAAAGACAGAGACAGACAGAGAGACAGAAAGCGAGAGGGGGGATGGCCACCCCACAATCCCTTCTCCTCCATTCTTCTCTCAGGATCTTGGGCATGTACGCACACAGGCCTAGTGTGAGTTTAAGCCACCAGGTCTGGGACTTGAACCGCAGTCGACTACATGGGAGTCCAGCGACGTAGCCATTACGCCATTACATTAGCAATCCTTATTTGCCCTTAGCTCTAGAGAAATTTGCCAATTTCTCTAATCATTGGCTGTTCTTTAAAAACAAATTTAAATGAGTATGATAGTAAATTGTTAAAGATTACTGAAGTGCTAACATAATGCATATAAAATGAGCTGTTATAATTCTGTATCATTATCTTTTTTTCCCCCCGCCATACTGATTTATTACTTAGCTATTTTCCACTAATTTATATCTTCTGTTTACAGAATATAAAGTCATTTATTGATATTAATTTTTCAAACTCCACATGCTTCCTCTATCTATCTGCCATTGAGAATCATCTTTCTAAAAGAAGGGCCGTAGGGCCCATAGGTGGCATAGTGGTTAAGGTGTTGGACACCCACATGGCCGACTGTAGTTTGAGCCCCAGACTGAATGGCTTGAATATCATGTTGGGTACGTGTGTGTGCATGTCCAAAATCCCAAGACACAAATGGAGGAGACAGGACTGTGGTATGGCCATCCCCCCTAGGGAATGATTTCTCACTTTCCCTCTCTCTGGTGAGCACACGCACCCTATGGCAAAAACCTAAAAAAGTTAAAAAAAAAAAAAAAGAAACTCCAGGCCCCATGGAAGTCACGTTTTTGTTCCCATTGGGCCTATAAGCCATACGTTTGAAGATTTCTGTTGTTTCCTACATAATAGGCTGAAATATCTGTGTAATGTTTTCTAACAGGCTGGTTATAAGAAAAAATTATGGAAAAAGGACAACGCAAGAAAAAAACGCTTGAGGGAATTTGTGTTCTGCAATAAAACCCAGAGCAAGCTCTTAGATAAAATGACAACATCTTTCTGGAAGAGGCGAAACTGGTACGCTGATGACCCTTACCAGAAGTACCACGATCGAACGAACCTGAAAGTATAGGCCTGCAGTTTCACAGTTTCACAGTGATTATGTGTCTTTGTGTACATGTCTTTGCAAAAATGAGTGAGTATGAAACTTTATGTAAATTGTACCTTCCATCGGATATGTAAACATACAGTACCAACATTAAGTTTATGGAAGTTTTAAAACGTACTGGATTAAACATTCCCAAATTTGGCCAGAGAAATCGAAGCTTAAAAATGTGTAATATTTTAAACAAATGGTAGTAGCTTAACTAGTTGTTCCAGTTAGACTTGTTTAGTTGTAAGGAATTTGGACTTGAGGACAAACATAAGAAGACTCTAAAGCTAACCTGATAGCTCAAGCAGTGTGACCTTGTTTGAAGGTTACTGCTTGGGAACTCAGTTGACCTCCCAGTCCCGGCTACCACCCAGAAGTCACCCCTCCATCTCAGAAAGGGCGGGAATTGGATGGCAGCGCTCTGTGGGAGATGGCAGCTCTTTAGGCTCTGTCATATATGTGACTCAGTTCTTTTCACAGTGGCACCATTGTCATCACCATCTCTAGTGCCCAGCTTTGCTTCCTTATAGCTTCTGTTCCCTCACAATTGCACCTTTGAGATCCTTTATTCCTTTCTTTTTCTTTTTTTAGAGATTCTTGCTATAGGGCACATGTGCTCACCAGAGAGACAGAAAGAAAGCAAGAAATCATCTCCTGGAGGAATGGCCACACTGCAGTCCCTTCCCCATTCTCCTCATGGGATCTTGGCCATGCATGCACACAAATCCAGCATAAATTTTGAGCCACCGGGTCTGGGACTCGAACCGTAGTCAACTATGTGGGAGTCCAGTGACATAGCCATTATGCCATCTGCTGGTCCCGAGACTCTGTTCTTTTCTACATCACAGCCTTCACCTCCTGTCTAGTCTCTAACTGCAAAGAGACTCCACCTGGGCAAGCTTCCCTTTCTACCCTTTCTTCCCTGTCTCATTGGTGTCACCATCCAGTGTAGGGATTGGTTGTTCTTAGATCTGGAACCCACCCTGGCCCACTTAGTTATGTTAACAGGTTCAAGTAGAGCAAAAAAATAGTCACTGTGAGCAGAGTCAGAGGTGAGGGTGGGAGGGCGACACACTGACCACCTCGTTTGCAGGGTAAGTTACTTACTTTATCCACTTCAGATATCATATTTTCATTTGTAATGATAAACTTTTCTCAGAATTTTTCAAAATATATTATAGAAACTAAGAGGGAAAAAATAATTTCAATCATTTGAGTGATTATCATCCAGTGGTTCTCAGCTCTCTGCTCAAAATTGTCTGGGAATCGAGACCAGCAGTTAGTGTAATGGCTATGTCACTGGACTCCCATGTAGTTGACTGGGGTTCAAGTCCTGGACCCGGTGGCTTAAACTCACGCCGGGCATGTGTGCGTTCATGCCCAAGATCCCAAGAGGAGGATGGAGGGGAGGGATTGCGGCATGGCCATCCCCCCTGGGGGTGTGATTTCTCGCTTTCTGTCTCTCTGTCTCTGTCTGGCGAGCGCACACGCCCTATAGCAAAAACCTCTCCAAAAAAAAAAAAAAAAGAAAATATTGTCTGGGAAGCATTTTCAAGCAACAGAGCACTTTGCCTGGTTGAAAACCATTATTAAATAAAATGGAGGAATTACTGTTGCAAATCCTTCAACTCAGTAGTGGATATGATAAGAATAACCAAATTGAAGTTCTGTGGCACATCAGGCTGGGATTATTGGGGGCATTCCTTGAAACTAGTGTGTATTCATTAGAAGAAAAATGCATAACAATAGAATGGTCTAATCCTAAAGGCCAAGTGTGTGTCTGTTTATGGGATAAATTAATTAATAAAGAACAGACATTTTCTTTGCGATGAAGGGGGAGCCTGAACCGTGAGCTGGCACTCTGTTTTGATGCACTTTCGTTTCATGACACTTCTGAGATGGCAGAAGCTCTGTCTTCTAACGACATAGGAATGTTCATAATCTAAATTGATCAGGAAAGTGACTGTAATCTAGTACCATAAATAGTAAATACTTCTCTGCAATACTATACCAATTCAGCTTTTAAATTGTAGTCGCTTTGTCTCCCTGTTACTGTCAACTCTTAGCCTGGTCGATCTCAGTTCTATCGACACTGGACGTGGCTCAGTGATAGGATTTGTAGCCTTTTCCCCCATCTCTTCTTGCTTTCGTACTCTGAATCTGCCACTTTTCCTGCTGTTTGTTTGTATGTATACTCATTAGGGGCCAGCCTCTGGGCGGTGGTTAAGGTGGCCGGATCCCACATGGCCAACTGCCTGGTTGAGTCCCTATCCCAGCGTCTTGAGAAACACCCCAGGCATGTGGATGCTCAAAACCCTAAGACCATCTCTCATGGGAGGTGCTTTCTTTCTCTGTCTCTCTTTCTGGCAAGTGCATTTGCCTTCTGGTAAAGAATAGAAGAAAAAGAATGCATGTAGAATATGGGACTATAAAAGAGTATAAAAGCAAGAGAAATGGACCTGTGTTTGGTTTCGACGTTTCAAATTTTGAGTTTCCGGGTCTTTGTCACTCCCCAGTGACGCCCGAATGTACCCATTCACATTTTAAAGGCAAGGACTGCAGTAGGGTTAAGGGCATCCCTACCACCATAGTAGTCCCACCCTGCACAAGCAGCACCGGGTCTGAGTGGGTGCTTCCCCACAGGCGGATGAAGAAGCACTCAGAGAAGGAAAGTGATGGATCACAGGTCTGACTGCAGAATTAAAACTGCCCACCACTGAACTGCTTGATAGTCACAGCTTTACGGTTTCCTCTGATGTTCTTTAAAAATGCAAAACAAGGGACCAGCAGATGGTGTAGTAGTTATGTCATTGGACTCCCATATGGCTGACCACAGTTCAAGTCCCAGACCCAGAAGCTTAAAACTCCCACTGGGGGACCAGCAGTTGGTGTAATGGCTATGTCGCTGGGATCCCATGTAGTTGATCACAGTTTGAGTCCTGGACTCGGTGGCTTAAACTCATGCCAGGTGTGTGTGTGTGCGTGTGTGTGCATGCCCAAGATCCTGAGAAGAGAATGGAGGACATGGGATTGCAGTATGGCCATCCCCTCTAGGGGGTGATTTCTCACTTTCTGTCTGTCTGTCTCTCTCTCTCTGTCTCTTTCTTTCTCTCAATCAGTGCATATAACTATAGCAAAAAAAATCTCTCTTAAAAAAGATGCAAGAGTTTGGCAGGTGGAGTGGTGGTTAAAGACGCTGGATTCCCACATGACTGACCACGGTTTGAGTCCTGGACCTAGTGGCTTGCTTTCTCACTTTCCCTTTCTCTCCCCCTCTGTCTCTCTTTGGTAAAATTAAAAAAAAAATAATAATAACAAATGGAGTTAAATAAATAACTATTTTTTAAATGGTGCAAAATAAATGGAGTTAAATAAATAAATATTTTTTAAATGGTGCAAAACGAACAGGCCCAGCAGGTGGTATGTTGGTTAAGGCACTGGACTTCCACATGGCTGACTGCAATTTGAGTTCTGAACCAGGTGGCTTCAAAGTCAGGTCAGGCGCCTGAGTATATGTGTCCAAGATGCTGACTAAAAGGGAGGAGAAGAGATTGCAGCGTGGCCATTCCTCCTGGGGGTATGTGGGGGCGATGCTTTCTCACTCTCCCTCTGTTTCTCTCTGTCTCTGGCGAGCACATATGCCTTATGGCAAAAAGAAAAAAAAAATGCAAGAGAAACAGTGATACTTTCAGGTTTATATTTCTGTGATCAACTAGTTTTCCAAACACTCAGGTGTCATTTCATTTGTTTTCTTCCCAGTAATCCTGTACAGTAGGCACGAAGCCAAGTGACCAAGCGTGTTACTGGTTAAGCAGTCTGTTTCTCATCCTTGCTACCTTCCACATTTTTTTTCTTCCACATTTTTTAAAAAATTATTTTTTCTTGGGCCAGCTTTGGCATGATGGTTAAGGTGGCTAGATCCCACATGGCCAACTGTGTGGTTCAAGTCCTGGGCCCAGCAGCTTGAAAAACACCAGGCATGTGTGTGTGTGCATGCTCAAAATCTCTAGGGGAGAAAGGGTGATTTCTCACTTGCCCTCTCTCTTTCTCTCTCTCCAGTGAGCATTCACACCCTATAGCAAACTAACAAACAAAAATGTCTTTCCTTCCAATTCCAACGTTACAAAGATGTTTCTTAAAAGAAAAATGTTAAGACTTTATTCAAGATGTAGATCAGGCATTATAACAAAACAGCAGGACTTCAGCCTTTGGAATACTGTGATTTTACATCCCTTCGATGCACATTCCAGCGTGCTGCTTTATTACAGACCGTTCTATGGGGACTACAGAAGTACAGAGGAGGTGTGCACAGTCACCGTGCCGGGCCAGCTCTTTGCCGGATCGCTGTTAGAGGACGAAGCACATCCTTGGCCGTTCCAAATACTGGGCAGGGTGGAGAGCTAGGAGGGACCAATGATGACGAGCACTCGTCACAAACACGTGGACGGTTTACCACAGGGAACACACATTTCAAAGGCCAGCGAGGCGGGCAGGCTGTTCACACAAGCCAGGAAGGATTATGACTAAACTCTCCAGTTCACAAGCACGAGACCACGTCTCACCTCCCCGGAAACAGAACAGGTGCTCAGTGGCACTCTCACTAAAAGTTCCGACGTGAACACTACAGACTTTGGAGCTGGCGTTTTGTAAACAGCCTGCGTCTGTGAGTCGGCCAGTTAAAAACATTCAGTTACATCCTCCAGACAGGACAGCACAGCACGACGTGCACACGTGGAGGCATTCACATTTCCTATCCATACACAGGTACACAGCTCGGAGAAGTAAGCACACTTGGCCGGAAAGATAACAGCTGCGCGCAGTGTACAGTGAGTGTCAGAGAGAAACCGACTCCCTGGTCGCCACTGCGAGGAAAAGTTACATTAAGACAGTTTTGATACCTTTCTACTTCGAAATCTTGAATGAGAAGTAATACAGCGTGTCTGAGAGTAGAGTGCTTCGAACTTGGTTTTGGCATAGTTTTGAGTGCAAACTTGACGGCCTGTACATTAAACGTTCCATTGTAAAATGGTGAAAGTATAGTTGGTTCACAAACGGATTTTAAACTCTGCTGCTAAAGGCATTTATTATTTTGGCAACCAAAAAACAGTATCTAAAAAGCTGTTTAACTTAAGCTTTTTTTTTTTTTTTTTTTTTTTTTTGGTTTTTTTTTTTGTAGGTGGCCCCCCCCCCACAAACGGATTTTAAACTCTGCTGCTAAAGGCATTTATTATTTTGGCAACCAAAAAACCGTATCTAAAAAGCTGTTTAACTTACTTTTTTTTTTTTTTTTTTTTTTTCGCGTTTGTTTCTGGTAATTTGGGGTGCCCCCAACTAACAGGTAAATACGTTTTAAAGAGTATATATTTCCTCTGTCTGGAACTATTCAATGAGTGTGAAGAGAACAGATTTTCTGTCTTCATGACAGGTGCAGGTATCGGAGGGCGTAGGGCACATAAGCGGACAGCCTCTGCCCTTTCAACTCCAAATTTGCTTTTAGGGTACTCTTTGTAAATCCCTTTGTAAAGTATACAGCCACCTTCAGGGGAACTGTGCGAAGCAGGGATTTCAGTATATGTGTCTGGCAGCAATCAACTTCAAATGAAATGCTTTCTGACGTGACTAAGATCCGGCTCGTGCGTCACCACCAGAGGCCATTGCTGTGCGTCCGTAGCTCAGTGATGGCGCGGTCTTTTCTTGGGCCTGTTTAGGTGGGTTGACAGCGAGTTCTATGTGGCATGTAATGCTAATTCACTAATCTTCAGGGCGTATCTACAGACAAACACAATCCAGATATTCAGAGTAACTGGGTCGTGACCACTGCATGCATCACACGGAAGGAAAACACCAACTCTAAGCACAAGTACACGAGGCCTACATTCGGCTTGGCTCCCAGGGGAAGGCAGCTACCTCAGACCAAGTGCATTTCCACCAGGTTCTCTCACATAAAGTTCTCAGTCTGAGTGAGGAGTCCCCTCAGATAGTGCTTTATTCCCTGCTAAGCGACCCGGGCTCGTACGTGACACCTGGTGACACCTGGAGCGCCGTGAGGGGAATTGCTCCTTCCTGCGCTCAGCCCTGGCGGGGAAGGACACAGGTGTGGGCCGCAGCGCCCTCAGATCTCAGCAGCAAGTCATATTCCAGCAAGCACTCAAGCCCTAAAGCCTTTCTAGAACCCACCGTTTAACACACGTGTGTAAGCTATATTTTATAGCATATTGGAAACAGTGGAGTTGTAGGTTTTTGTGGGGTTTTTTTGGTGTAGTGTTCTCTAAAACATGGTGCTCAGGTCGTGGGCTCCTCTGCCAGGGAGATTAGTCACAGCTCTGGACACGATGGAGAAGTGGTCATTTGCCAAGCATTCAAAATGACTCTCCTCAGCAGCTCTGTGAGTTCTCATCCTCAGCAAGTTTTGCCCAGGGTGAGCCCCCTTGCCTCAGGTGGTAGTAAATTCCCGGGAAGGATCCGGAAACTCCTAGTCCTGAATCCAAGGGGGAAATAAGCTTCCTGTGACTCCTATCCTAGGACGTTCTCCTGACCTCTCATCACACTCATCTCTTGCTAAAATACTGTATCTCTAAACTCCTAACTTCTCTGTCTACGAACTACACAGCTACGTGAGGGATATGGAGCATCTTCCTGCAGGAAGTGGGATGTTCTGTTGGAGGTCTATTCGGAAGCTTTGTGAGCGCATCTGAGACATTTTCTAGAATCACAATGTTTTTCTACATTTGTTTCTGCAGTTTTTTTTACATATCAGAACCTCCGACAGCCCTTGCAAGTCATATATTAAGCCAAAAGCCATAAATATGTACATCATAGTCCAAAGTATTAGTATCAAGAACAAAAAGTTTAAAAATCGCTTTGTTTGCATTTACAGGACTAAAAAGTAAGTATGCAACAGATAAATTACAAATGTACACCTTAGCATCATGGGGCGATTCCCTTAGATTTAAAAAACCACACTGCTGTCTGTCATGACGATCTGATGGTGGAAAATGACTAACCTCAGAAGACTTAAAGGTCACTCCCCCCCATGCTAACTTTCCTTTTAGCCTCTCCCCTGCAAAATAAAGAAAAGGAAAGGAAAAAAAGAAAAATTCTTAAAAGTGGAAGAGGGGAGAGGAAAAAGGCCCTGTCTGTGAGGCTGCACACTTAAAGCACACCCAGCTCGCGGAGTTGTTATTAGTGAATAGCTCTTTAAGGCAGAGAAGAGACATTCTGTGGATCCGGTGCTGTTGGCTCATCTCACGTGGTTTCAGTGGCCGAGGATGAGGTACTTTTCTTCCTGAAGCGAGATCGAAGGGTTCTAGGCGGTGCCTGGTGGAGTAAACAGAAAGCCACCCCTCAGCTGGGCTTGGTGCGGAGTATTTGAGGACAGCCCCTGGGCAGGTGTGCACTGAGACCTGCAGCTGCCTTGGCCCTGTGCACACGGTGTGAGGCTGCTGGCGGGGTTGGGGTCTCCCTCTGAGTCTCTACCACAGGAATCCCAGCGCCAGAGTCGCTCCCCACACCCCCTGAAGCTGAGCCCACGGAGAAGGCCAGCACCTCCCTCAGCTCCATCACACTCTCTAAGTCCCAAGGTCTCCCAAGCGAATGGTTGAGCAGAGAATGACATCTCATTTTTCTGGGAGCAAAATGATCCTAACAAGTGACTCAGCAGAGAGATGCCTCATCTCTTCCCTCGTTCTTGTTGCTTCCCCTGGGAGCCGGCCTCTGGTTTCTTGGTACGTGCTTCAGATTTCCATCACTAAGTTTCCTGTCTTCCTTCTGAATGTGAAACCCTTTTAACGCACAGCAAAGCCACACCACAGAGGCTTTATTATGAAGGGCCCCACCTCATCTCCTCCTACCCCAAATGACTCTCAGGAGACCCCCCTCCTTCCATGGGCTACACAGTTACAGGGGAAGTTGCCATTACATTGAAAGGAAAGAGAACAGTGTCTCCTAGTGGAGCCCTCAAGGGGGTTCACTTAATGGGCCCCACCTATCACAGCCGGTCTGTCAGCTCCGCACACCACACTGAGAGCTGCATTCTCTGCGCTGTCCTTTCACGCCTCTGTTCCTTCTGACTGGAAGCCCTCCCCTCCCTTCTCTGCCTTGCATATTCCTAGTCCTTCCAAAGACCCAGGTTGCAAGTCACCAAAATCCCCCCGCTGCCACCCAGCCACACTGCCTTCACAGCAGAGGACTGCACCCAGGATGGGGTCTCCCCACCAGACTTGCCCTCCTGAGGGCAGCCCAAGTTGGTGGACTGCACCCAGGATGGGGTCTCCCCACCAGTCTTGGCCTCCTGAGGGCAGCCCCAGTTGGTCCCCCCCCATTGCATGGGGACTGGCTCAGTGCAGGGCAGCCTGGAGAAGGGAGAGAGCGGAGGGAGCAGAGAACGGGGCTCAGACTCACTCCTCGCTGCACCTCTGCAAACCGGAGCAGCAGCACACCTCCCTTCTGAGGAACCTGCCCGTTGCTGAACAGAAACAGTAAGGCAGGGTGTGCGGCTTCATAGGCAAACCTGACCAGCACCGACCCTTCTGCGCGGAGGTCTTACTCTCCCCACATCTCGAGGCTGCCCAGGCCGGCTCCAGCAGAGTCCAAGCCCAGAACGTCTCCCAAGCCTCCTAACTGCAGAATTGAGCCACGGGTGCCTCACCTGGGGAAGGGATTTGATGGCTCCTGCCCACGGAGGTGGTCATCATGACTGTCCCCGTGAATGGGATGCCGAGCCACTGTGTGTGTGTAGGGGACATGTCAGTGCATCTCCTCGTCAGTCTCTCAAGGGTGTGTGGACAGGGGACTCTCAACCTGTCTCAGATGGAAGGTAACAGACACCTGAGGGGCAGAGAGGAGGTTGGGGTCCCCTGACCCTGCTGGCCCTGCACCTCAGTCCTCATGTTGCACCTCTTCATGGGGGTGTGGTCAGTCACCTCTGCAAACCGCAGCAGCAGCCACACTGACACCTGAGCTCATGATTGGTGACTCTACCCACGTCATGGGGCAAGACCCACAGGCTCAGCCCTCCTGTTGGCAGAACTCCCATCCCCGTCCACACTGGTGATAGAACATAAATGTATTGTTTTGGTAACTAAAGGGCTGCACCTCTTTAAGGATGTTCTGTGACTAGCTGCTTCATACCAGTCACTAAGCTGTGTCTTGGACAGACGGATGAATGAGCCTCGTTTATAAAAACTTGCCACATAACATAGTCTGAGTTTGTCTTCCCCAAAACGCTCGGTATTTGGTCACTTAATGGGCCCCACCTATCACAGCCGGTCTGTCAGCTCCGCACACCACACTGAGAGCTGCATTCTCTGCGCTGTCCTTTCACGCCTCTGTTCCTTCTGACTGGAAGCCCTCCCCTCCCTTCTCTGCCTTGCATATTCCTAGTCCTTCCAAAGACCCAGGTTGCAAGTCACCAAAATCCCCCCGCTGCCACCCAGCCACACTGCCTTCACAGCAGAGGACTGCACCCAGGATGGGGTCTCCCCACCAGACTTGCCCTCCTGAGGGCAGCCCAAGTTGGTCCCCCCATTGCATGGGGACTGGCTCAGTGCAGGGCAGCCTGGAGAAGGGAGAGAGCGGAGGGAGCAGAGAACGGGGCTCAGACTCACTCCTCGCTGCACCTCTGCAAACCGGAGCAGCAGCACACCTCCCTTCTGAGGAACCTGCCCGTTGCTGAACAGAAACAGTAAGGCAGGGTGTGCGGCTTCATAGGCAAACCTGACCAGCACCGACCCTTCTGCGCGGAGGTCTTACTCTCCCCACATCTCGAGGCTGCCCAGGCCGGCTCCAGCAGAGTCCAAGCCCAGAACGTCTCCCAAGCCTCCTAACTGCAGAATTGAGCCACGGGTGCCTCACCTGGGGAAGGGATTTGATGGCTCCTGCCCACGGAGGTGGTCATCATGACTGTCCCCGTGAATGGGATGCCGAGCCACTGTGTGTGTGTAGGGGACATGTCAGTGCATCTCCTCGTCAGTCTCTCAAGGGTGTGTGGACAGGGGACTCTCAACCTGTCTCAGATGGAAGGTAACAGACACCTGAGGGGCAGAGAGGAAGTTGGGGTCCCCTGACCCTGCTGGCCCTGCACCTCAGTCCTCATGTTGCACCTCTTCATGGGGGTGTGGTCAGTCACCTCTGCAAACCGCAGCAGCAGCCACACTGACACCTGAGCTCATGATTGGTGACTCTACCCACGTCATGGGGCAAGACCCACAGGCTCAGCCCTCCTGTTGGCAGAACTCCCATCCCCGTCCACACTGGTGATAGAACATAAATGTATTGTTTTGGTAACTAAAGGGCTGCACCTCTTTAAGGATGTTCTGTGACTAGCTGCTTCATACCAGTCACTAAGCTGTGTCTTGGACAGACGGATGAATGAGCCTCGTTTATAAAAACTTGCCACATAACATAGTCTGAGTTTGTCTTCCCCAAAACGCTCGGTATTTGGATTGCTTTCCACCTTACCCCCTCTCCTATGTCTAAATAAAATGGGCAGCAACAGCTGGGCAAGCAGCTGGTGGAGGGGGATCTCCCCCACTCGGTGCTCCAAGAGATGCTGCTCATGGGTCTCCCAGACTTCCAGGGCAAAGCACATGCTCCAACCCACAGCCAGACGCCATGTACCTCCAGGGGCAACTCCGTCCGCCGTGGTGCCTTATACTTGTACATGAAATCCAGCAGGTCTTCCTCCTCGTCGTCAGAAAATGCCAGAGGGTTTTGGACCTGGTGGGGCTCCCATGCTTTCAGACCACCCTCATTCACATCTCCCTCAATCACTTAATGTCCATTTACAATCTACACGGGAGACAAAGTACGGCGTGCAGGGGTCAGGGTGGGGAGGAGCAGGGAGTGGCTGCAAGGCTGAGGTTAGGCACACAGCACACAGCCGGGCCTGTTAGGACAGCCCAGGCCCCACCACTGAAGATGCTCCGATGTCTTGGCCCTCCCTGCAGGGGCCCGGGATTGTGAGTGCAGTTGTAAGACACAGGCAGACAACCACAGCCTCAGAAGCTACCACGGGGGCGGGCCCCCCCCTCCCTGGAAGACACCTCAACCGAGACAGTCAAACCCTGTAGCTAGGCCTGTGGTTCCACACCAGAGAACACTCTCTAGAAAGGAGACAGCAGCAGTGACTTCGAGGGAGAAAGCAATTTACACATTTTGCATCTAAGGAGACAGCACTTACGCCCGCATGTTCGGCTCCAAGCATTCTCTAGGACTGAGTGTAAAACACCAGGAAGCCTTCAGGGATAATCTTGAGCTGTGTAGATTTTCCATGTCAAAGGCCCAGACCCAGGGAAGCTGAGGAATCTAAGTGAGGGAAAACCCGAGAGGAGCCTCTTCCTCCAAAAATGACAGCAAGACAGAATCCTGCTTCAGTCTGCCTTGAGCAAATCCACAGGAAAAAGCTTCAAAACCAATTCATCTCATTGCACAGTAGTTTTTAAATGCTCAGTGTGTATCCGTATTCCATGTCCTCCGGCCAGGTGGTTCAATCTTAGCCAAACTACAAATACGTTCTGCCCGCACCCAGCCTAGCTGACACCCACAGCCACATCCTTCTATGCCTCCTGGGTGGTTTTCACCTAGAATCACGAATGCAGATCTAGGGACTCCATCCCCTGGTCCGACCACCCTGAGGTCTGCAGACAGAAGCAGAACTCTGACTGGGACACCCCATTACCGCTCCTAAAAACACGTCCAGCCAGCTGCCTCGCTGGACCTAAACCCCACAACTGAACCCTCATTTGGAGCAGCTTTGCATATTCCTGCCGCTGTTCTCCTGAGAGCCAGCAGGAGGCAGCACGAGAACACTGCTGCCTTAACCAAGGTTTTCCTCGCAGGAATGGAGCAGGGCGCCAGCTGCCGACTCTGCCCTCAAACTAAGGATCTGAGATGGTTAACTGTCCTCTGATTTCTGTACCGCTCTCTGCTCCCTTGAGCTCATTTGCTCAGGGTTTATGTTGCCCTCTAGTAGTTTGCTCTGCCCCAATCAGCTGCACTCT